AATTTAAAATCCTATTAAAATCAAAAATAAGTCGAACTAATTGTTAATGTTAAAAACAAAAATATATACATACAATTGTTATAAGCTCAACGTTGAAACTTCAAGCAATTTTTACTGTGCTATATGTCGATATAGACTGGTTTACGAGATATTGACATTTAGACCAGATTGCACAGTCTTTACTTAAGTCTTGATATTGACTTAAATATGAGATTAATCAAAAAGTCATATTTACCAAACAGAGATTTCAACTCTATAATAATTATACTTAATGATTAAGAATATCTCACGTAACTCTAGAAACAGTGATGCGTACGCCTTTTGTATTGGGCAATAATTTGGTATCACTACAAAAAGTTTCTAAAAATAAAATGGATGAGAGACATTTCCTTTATTATACGTGCATGAGGCAAAACGCTTATGAAATACATCTTTGACGAAATATAAAAAACAAATACATGCTCTCCAAGTTAGGAATCTTATTGTATTAATATTAAAATTTTTTTAGTATTATATTAATACCAGAGTGAATAATAGTCAGAGTGATAAAGGTAATTTAATCATCATTTGTATTATATATTAATAAATAATTCTAACTGTTTAATTGCAGTAATTTACAGCGTTACTAAGATTGTACAAAACTTAACAAAAATGAATACCTCTACCGCACAACCCCGCTTTATCATTTATATTCTTACCATTTCTTCATTACTTTGTTGGAGATTGGATATTTTCGATTGGAGAGTATTGAAGCCAACGATGAAATTCAATCCAGGAAATATTTAAAAAAATTATATTGTCAAGCTCGCTCCGTATTGGTTGGTTGGTTTTAATGGTGTCAGGATTTCCCCTTCCGTCAAAGTTGCACATAGGCCTGTTTTGATACCACAAGTTCGACAAAGAAAATCCAGTTAAAAATCAACCATTGTGGTTGTTAAAAAAGATTATTTTGTGAACATTCATGTTTGGAATTTTCGCCGGGCTTCTTAGCTCGTAAACTTTCATAGCGGATACTCTAAGTGATGTCAAATAAAATATTTTAAATAAAAATCCAAAATGGATTAAAATACGGGGTTAAGAATTAAATTTAGAAACAAGTTAAAATGCGAGCACAAGACAATGCAAATATAATTATGTACACTTTCTATAAAGAAAAAGAGTATTTTCGGTAAGTTAGTATTTGAAAAAAATTAAAGTTAAAAAAATTGTTTTACTATTCATTTGTTTGAAATTTTGTGCTCGTATCTGATCGTACAGAAATGGCTGCAGATCAACGGACAGATGAATACGCACCCCTTGGAAATTTGTATAAAAGAGTGAAGAGACAGACGAATGGACGGTTGCTCAGAACAACTAATCGTCTTCTGAACTGACAAATATAGAGGCTTACAAACTGATGAAATGACTGATGACTGACTGACTGATGATGAAATGATCGAGGTTGTTGTTTTGACAAATGATTGTGAGAACAAACTTGAGCATCTACACAACTTATATATACAAGTAAAATAACTGGCATTACACAAAAAAAGTGCCGTATATGAGACTGAATTGCCAAGGGTCTGCACTGGTGAGACTTCCAAAAGTAATACCACATCATTAAGATTTATTCTGTATGTAGATATGAAAGTATAACTTCAGCTTGTTTGCTTGCAAAGATATGTGCTGGCATTGTTTGGAACTCGTATAAAGTTGCTTTTGGTAATTGAATAGATTTTCTTAGATTTAAAGTTAGCATGAAACTTTGCTCATGACACACTTTATTTCATAGTGCAAAAGTTAATGCATCAATGTCCTTGTCCACGCATCCTCCTCTTACTGCGACTAATGTCTTTTCGACAAAGTATATAAAACATTGTTTAAAAGTAACAAACTTTCCTTTCATCTGCATCTTCGTATGACTGCGTATATGAGGGCCACACCGACTCAATTCAGGTGTTGTGAAAGTAGCAGAACAGAAGAAGAAAGTTTATTTAGTTTGCAAATTTACTTTGGATTCAGTGCGTGCGGATTCGTTTATCGCACACATTACCTTTTTCTTCTTGTTGCGGCTTGTTTTCCGGAAAAATTTGTATATTCTGCATAAAAGTTTCCTGTCTTGGAAGGAAGCCATGCCCTCCGGCTGCATTTTTTATTTATTCAGGACGCCTAAAGTAGGGCATGGCGCAAAGACAATAAGTTTCTCGTTTTGTTGTGTGCGTGCTGCCAACAGAGTTTTATAAATAAACTTTTATGAGATGTACGGGTGTATGCAAATACACACACACACAGTCGGCTTGGTTTTGTTATATATGGGCGAGTATATTTTGTATGCTCCATGCGTTTCTAGATGTGACACTGAGGCCAGGTGAAACTACTCCGCTACATAAAAATTCAGTGAAGAAATGTAATTGTGCAAATTAGGTTAGGAACTTTGACACATGTGCGGGTTTAACATAAATTTAATTTTTTTTCTACCAAATAAGTTTAATGAATGCCTTTGGCAATAAACGAGTATGTGTCAGAACATCCAACTATTGATTGCGGGTTAAGACTTTTGTATTAGCTAATTTGTCATAGTTGCTCAACTATTCATCCAAAAAGTTTGTTTGTTCTTTTAAGATAGATCTCATCTTTTCATCTGCAAGTCTAAGTTCTAATTACTTTACTTGTTATTTATCACAACTTTTTTTATAAACTCGCGAACAAAAACTCAGTACAGTTTGTTTTTCTTCACATAATCTCCGATTATCTTTGAAATTGGTAAGTTGTACAATTTATTTTGATCTGAAATCACATAAAAAAATACTGAAAATATTTAAAGATCACTTACTAACAACTTACTACTTTTCTAATTAAGATTCTAGTTAAGAATAGAAAATAATATTAAGAATAGATAAAATTAAAAATAGAAAATAGAAATTTTATAAATCATGTTTCGCATAAGCATTGCTGCTCTATTGCTCGTCTACTTAATGATGTGACGCTAATATCTCGTGTCCTTGTTTGGCTTAAATTCACAACCTGAAACCATATTTTTGCTAAAACATCGACCCATAACGACTAAACTGCTTGAACTTTATGCGCTGTACATAGCACGAATAGATGTCATAGGAAGACTCAAACAGCCATAATCCACATAGATAAAATAGACGTCCTCATTTCAGGAACTGAAGATCATACGATCTACGTTATCA